CCAAGGTACGGGAATTTCTCCACCTCTTCCACTGCTTCTTCGTGTATCGGTAGAGTACAAAGGACAGGGGAACATGAAAGCACTATGCTTTTCAGTTTAGATGCATTCACACTTATACCGCCCACCTCGCACTCGTCTATGAGCCATTTCGAAGAGCTCTTGACATCGGTTTCAGAACATGCCAACATAACAAAATGATCTCCGAACAGCAGTTTTCTCGCCTCCACGTCTCCAAAGCAGAAACCCTCGTTGCTCTTCTCTGTCTGCGTCTGACTATTCTCTCTATGTACAACAAGTAAAGGAGAGGGCAGAATGCAGCCATATCGAAGACCAATTGCAACGTAAAGATGTCTCGACTTAACACTGTTTATTGTGATGTAGCACCTGCTACCAACATATCTTGATTGAATAGCTCATAGCAACTGGCCATCGATTTCATGTTTGCAGGCATGCCCATTGTTTGTTGTGTTCATAACTTCTGGCGTAAGAAGAGATTCGGCCAGACCTGAAGCCATAGTACTCTTCTTTTAGCATGTTCGCATAGACTTTTCCCCTGAGAGCTCATAAAGGTAATGCCGTGATAATTGGAGCACTCCCTGTAGTCTCTGTTCTTGAGCAGCGGCGCTAGAAGCCCCGTTCTCTAGTCCACGGATGTCCTCTTTGTAGCCATTACAGTTTGGCAGACACGTGTTAGCCAGAACATGTCACGTATGAGAAAAAGCTTTAAGCAGTTCATGGCGGATACCATAGACATAGCCACTTATGAAACGTTTTACAGCTTTCGTGACTTCATGTACTGAAACACGAAACCGTTGCCTATCGCACTTAGTGCGAGTCTTCCTGCGGTTGCCTGGAATATGGAATTCTTCACAATACTCTATCCATCGCCGAGGTAAGTCCTCGTCCTCGATAAGAAAGCGTCCATTCTTATTCCTCAGGACTCTTAAATTGTCCCCTTCCCATCTTGGAGGCGGTAAATGGTCTGCCAGAATACCTCGTTTTCTCTGCTCAAGCACTTAGACGAACTTTCCCAATATTCAGATGTCTCGCCACTACTTTCGCTGCCGCTTTGCGCGCGACTTGGTACTGTATTCACGTTGAAACCTCTTTGTTTCCAGGCTGTCTCTGGAATGCCATATTCTTCCCGGTGACAGGTAGTTGAACCTCTTGTGTCCATCAACAGAAAGATCGTTTGTGACCTTAAGGCGGTAGACCAACCAATCTTAAACCATAGAATTCGGTGGCAGCCCCGAGAACCGCTTTTAAAGAGGTTCCACTCAAAATGCTCATCATCGGTTCAAACCGTCCTCAGACGTATCATGCATGTTTTGCCCTCGCATCCTTTCAGGAATGATTCATACTCTTCCTATTAATTGAGTGCATAAACATGTAGCATATATATAGTTAGTGCAGTGTGTCTTTCTTCAGCGATTCCATTGGCCGACTCTTCGTGTTGGAGGATGTCCGAGTTTTACTTTTTCCTTTGGAACAAAAGTTCGTAGTTTATGAAGTTCTATCTCTGTCACTGAACCCAATACCTGGTGTTCAGTAGATGTGCTTTCTCAAAGAAAAAAATTTAGTAAGTCAACATTTGGTTTTATCTGCGTCTAAATTGCAAGACCTACCTTTATTAAATGGCGCACAGGCTCCTCACTTGACGCGTCAGTTAGCAGGAAATATTTTAGGGATCTGAACTTCAAAGACCTAGACTTAACAGACAACAAAATAGATCTACCGTTTCACCGCAGTTACGACGAGTCGCAAGGGGTACTTTAGATATGGGCAGTTAAGCAAACATCAAGTCTACTTCAAGTGTTACAGTGATAAGGGACGCCGCATCCAAACCAGACGTTAGACATGGTTTTTGCAGCGAACGTCAGTCAACGTTGACATTCCTGTGCTTATCCTGGGTAACAGCCGATCGTCTCCTGATCGTGCTTTAATCAGAACACCTCATCGTCACCGTTGTTCCCGGCGACCACTCGCCGTCTATTCCGCGGTTGCCGAACGCTGTTCACTTTCCACCAACGTAATTTTTCAAATGGGGACTTCAAGCGGCGTCGTACTGTACTTAGTGCTTATATCCGTTTTTGGCTGCTCACAGGTAGGCCAGGAACATTTTCTGACACAATTAATGCAATGAAGTGTGAAGTTAGATTTATTCGCGTTCATTGTGCTTTATTAAAAGAACCAAATAAGTATGAATCCGGTCTGCCACTTCTCCCGACTTTGTGTGACCGTAGCCTTGAGCCCCTTGCATATGCGGAACGTCCCTGGTTCGTGCGATATCCGTTGTGGTCACAGCCTTACATCCCTTTTTGTATATAAGGTATCGTACATGGGACAATTTCTGTCCCCAAGCAGATCTGCCTCCAGTTTGCATACTGACCTTCCGGCCTACACCGACATTCGACGTGTTTCCGGATGGAGTAAGCAGTGTATGCTCAACCAGTTTAGCTCATAGGGACACTATTCTTTCGGCAGTGTCGGCATCCACGCGAACACCGCTGTCCATAATAGAATATAGTCGTTCATTTTTTGTTCTTGCTATTTAACTCGTAATATGCATCGAGGTTGGATTCTTGCATCTTTTACCACACAGTTACCTTATTACTGAAGGTCTAGGGTAAAAGAGAAATATTTTATGCGTAAATCTTTGAATAGTAATGAAGGTTGGTGTGGAACTTTCCAGCTGCCTAAGACAGGTAGTGAATGTTTAAACAACTGCAACAAAACGTCCGCTTCCTTTTATGAGTCACCGATCGGTATGAGCTACATGAAAGGGGAGACGTTAGCTTCATTAAAGAAGGACTGTAATAGTTTATACTGGAATATTTGTTTGTATTTGTTTCAGTTTGTTTTCAGAAACAGTGCAACCCATTTGAATATTACTGACATTTCCTTAACCTTTTCCGGATACTGTATCAGGTGTGTTCAGAATACATCGACAGATAAAAGGATGGGGAAGGACAATGTTTAAGTTCTTGTCGATTTTTTGCATTCGTTACCGGAAGCTAATTGCGCTCAAGCAGCAGAGTAACCTGAACTTCTGATCCTTGATTAATCTCCAGTGTACCAAAATTCTTTCACCGTGCTGTTCACGCTTCGTACACAAGGTTATGACAGAGAAGTACCAACGTAAACTTGAAAAGTGCTAATCATCAAACTTAGAAGAAACTTTATCACTCACATCACTCGGAGACTGAGAATATTCAAAATTCGTCATTCATAATTTTATGCTGACCCTTCCTATTTCTCTAAAATGATGGATTAATTTCTTGCGTTATTTTTATAAATGCATAAAAAAATATTGGATTCATATGTTGGACAGGCAATAAACGGTTATTACCTTTATACTAATTGTAATTATTGGCTTTCATGATATGTTACCTCAATAATTGCCGATAGTTGCATATGGGGCATTTTTTATCCCATAGTTCTACGGTATGTTAGCACCTGCAGCATTAAAGGCATTTCACAGCTAGGACAATTATGAGCAAGAGAACATTGTCACAACGTGCCAAATTTATTAATAGAGAAATTTAAACGTTTTGTAACATGCTGCTACGTGTGAAGTCATACTTTAGACAGTTTTTTAAAACTATCAGAGAAGCACTGCCAGCAAGTATGATAAGGCTATAACCAGAAAAGCGGCGCGAGCTTGCACAACAGCTGCTTAGACTGAACTGACACTGTTAAATGTCCTTAAACAATGAGTCATGAAAGCCGTGTAGTACCGCATGGCGTTTCAGTATGTCAAGGACGGGGACACGACGCACAAAAGCTTGATTACAAGCAGTCAATCGAAAGTACCCTCGTTTCAATCCAAATTTAGCTAGCCTTATAAACGTTACAGTTTCGTTGTAATTATAAAGACTTCATTACAACTGTAAATAGGAGGTAGGTTTAGTTTGAAACACCAGTGTTTGTGATAGACTGTTTCTGATTAAGGACTGTGTTTTGTGTTCCCTTTCGTGACATACCAAAACACAGTAATCTCTGACAAACAGTTCTTGAACTACTTTAATGTACCTTATTGCATCAAATATCAACTTCACAGAATAACTTGCTTAGCAGCGAAATTGAACTCATCGAGCAGAATTTAAAATGACCATCATTCTATTTATCATCATAGTGATCGACCTAAACTTGGTTTGTAGAAAGCGATTATTGCTGTCCACGTTCAAGTGTAAAAGGAAAGGAATAAAATGTGATTTCGTCTAATAGTATGTATGTATATATCATGCTGAACGTCTTTAGCCATTCTAATTCGCCGGTTGGTCTTTTTTCCCATATTTTGTCACCCGAGGTACGTAACTTCTTAACCTGTTCCGCTGGTTCTTCGTTTCTCTGCAGAGCGCCGTGGCCACGTTATCTTATGCGAATGTCTCATAGGGCTGCAGTTCGTCTTGGCTCACTTGATAACTGATTATGTGGTAATCAGCAAAGGTGTTTGCCCGGTTATTTTCATTGTTGTTGATTAAAACCCTCATGGAAAGCCGATCTAGGCGGGTGATGGTTACTATATTTCTTTAGGCATTTAAAAGTTTATTTTTTTTTCATCAGTTAAAAATGTAGAAAGATAAATAATTCTCTAAGTTCATAAAGCCATAGACTTATCACCAAAACGAGACTGAAATATCAGGCACTGAAGACAGAAATATAACATATCTTGATAGTAAAGGCGGAAGTCATTCTTATAGTGATCTGGTCCCTTGGAGAAGTGAAGAGCGACTAGCAGCACCTACTAAAGTTCATCTGATAAAACGATCAATGTAGATGAAATGCAAAAGGTGACCCTGCTAGACACAGCGAGAATTTTTCGAAGAGTACTTTGTGTCCGTAAAAATTGGTAAATGGTTCGAGCTGTAGTGATTTTCATAGTACTCGTTTCATATTTCGTGGATTGTATCAGAAGTATGAAAGAAACACTGAATTATACTGCGGTTTATTATAACTAGAAGTAATGGTAGGTTTATTTTCACGCTCTTCTTGCAGGTTGGTACGGATGGTATATCTCTTGCACCTTCAAAGTGTAAGCGTGTTTTAAGCAGACACTTCGCGAAAATATTATTTGGTATTTAAGATCAGGCAAATTCTGATGGCTGTGGCTCCCCACATTCGACGACGACCGTCGCAATTTTGCTACAAAACTTCAGCAACCCTGATGGAATGCTGGAAAACGGCGAGGACTGTTGGACTATTTTTTGGATGAAGCAGCCGTGCGTTTTCTACATGAATATAACACTTATTCCGTAAGATTGCGCGTTTCAAAGACCTTACTTTAATTTTTGGCATAAATTTTATTAAACATGCTCTGAACGTTTCAGATCCAGTTTAATCGATCTCCATCTGACATTGCATAGCAGTAATGTTTCATTACCTTTCAATTACTAATGCCAGATTAGCATTGCGGAAACTCACCCTTCCTCTTGGTTGTAATCGCATAGGGGGGGCATTTAGGCAGGTCACAGCTTCATGGCATTTAGGAGCCTACAGTTCAAGGGTAGAAGACCTCATCTCTCAGTTTCGCTGATCAAGGGCATGTTGGAGCACAAGCAAAAGTTATCATTATCAGCAGGCAAATATATTTTCTCAGTAAAAAACGATATAACCCGGATATTTGTAGAAAGTTACTATGGAACCGCCTTCTTAAATGGTCCCCATAGTCAATTAAAAGTAACGGATGGTGTGACTTCGCCCTATCAGTATTATGCTAGTAATTGAAATGTAATATCTACCCGTGGAGTTGAAAACCTGCCATTTGTGTTAGGTGGCCCAAAATGCAAGAGTTATATTTTATCTTATATCATGTGCCATTGTAATCCAATATCTTATGCATTTTTGGTAGGACAAGTGGGATTAACGACATGCTGACCTGTTCGTACAAAGATTTAGGTCAGCTATGGTCAGCTGTGGCCAACACGGTCAGTTTTTTGCCTGAACAGTTGTACGGCAGTTGGTACAATCCACAGAACTTTACATGGAAAGGTGCATGCAGTGTAATAACGGTGACCTCGGTAAAGCCTTGTTGCAATTGTTTTGTGATAGGGGTTCACGTTGTCGGTTGAAGTATACCATAGAGGTTTACATGGGTACTATCTGATAGACAATTTTAACGTAACCGTTGGCGCTGAATCCTTCGCCGGTGAAGTGTCATTCGTTCATCAAAGGAACGACAACGTAGACGACACATCGTACGCAGCATATTTCAGTATTGATGGTTTAACTGATTTTTCTTTTGAAGATTTTCGTTTTCCTATGAAGTTTCCAGGAGCGATGGTAAGTGCTGCTCATGTTACACGCTGTTTACTGTCCATAGGTTTGGATGAGAATAAAAACAGTTATGAACAGTGCGTGAAAAATAATTAATTGCTTTACATCTGCTATCCAAATCAGTGAATATTGTAAAATAACCTACTGAGCTGTGCACAGTCAGGATATGGTCATATTCAACGACGTCAAAAGAATCAGCTGCTGGGAGCATTCTCAGGTTCTTGAGATACAAGCCGTGACGTTAGTGATGGTCAATCTCCTGATTGACTAGTAGCTTGTGTTGTACGTTGTTAAACTGCTTTATGCTACATCATAGTATCATCACCGCACAGACAATGTTGTATCTTAGAGGAGCATGTAATACGAGAAATTGTCACTTGGATTACTTGGACTGATCAGTGATCTGTGATGAATGCGCCGGACGTACCTCGTCGCCCATTCGAGCCTTCAGCTTTTAAGTGTGGCCCCCTCCCGGCTTCTGATATCATTTTCCAGTCGTCTCGGTGGGCCAGTCGACCTGTTCTGCATTTCATGGTACCAGTCGACGATCAAAGCTGTTCATTTCCCACCGGTAAACCGACCGGAAACTTTCTACTTTCGACAACGACGTCCTTCCCTCCCGCCTGCTGGCTGTCCATTGTATTGGGTATGTGGTCACGACGTGAGGTTCTCAACATTCAATTTTCCACGGCTCTGTCGGTATTCAAGCGCTGAGGCTCTTCTTCTTTAGTGAGTGACTACGTCTCATTGCCATTTAACAATGTGGGCAGTACGGTGGAATTGAAGAGGTGGGCGGGTTTATTTTCTGATGTTTCTGAGGAGGTCGCCTTTGATAAAATGGTACGCGCTCCAACTCCAACTCTTAATCCGTTCAAGCTGTGTTTCATTGATAATAATCAGTGCTAGCATTTTTTTTTGCATGATCATGGTACATAATGTGTGCAGGGGCAGGAGCTTCAGCGAATTATTTCACGACGGGAGATCAGATCCTGAGATCTGCAT